GGCGTGGGCGAGGGTAAGCCCTGCTGCTGGCCAACCACGCCGGTCCGCTGCATGCTCGCCATCCTCCTTCGGAGCATCTGCGCCTGCTGCAGGCGGTGCTGAAGCTGCTGTTGACGGAGCTTGTGTTTAATGTTGAGGCAGAAGGGCACCGGACACTTGTTCTCCTGGCAGTGCTTCGCGTGGTAGCAGCAGAGAGCGATGAGCTGCTTGCAGATGGGGCACCCGCCGTTGGTTTTGCGCTTGCAGCCTTTGGTGTGCTGGACAACCCGTTTCATCTTCTGGCAGGAGGGCAGGGAGCAGTTGGCATTACGACACTGGCAGGCATGGACCAGAGACTGGATACAGCGCTGAATGCTCAGTCGGCGGGAGTCGCCGGGGCTCTGGGTGGTCGCAGTCTGCTGGTTGTTGCTCTCATCGTCTAGACCGAGGCCTAATTTCTCCATCTTGTGGTCATGGTTTTTAGTGTTATAGCAGGTGATGCACAAGTCATAATCCTGGAAAGACAATGAAGGAGAAGTTACCAGTGCTCATAAAACGCCATACAATAAGTAAACAACGTCACGCCACCTCAACAAACTACTCCTGCTCTGTTCCAGGCAAGTGGTTGCTCTAGGGAGAAATTCCATCTTTCTTGCCATGCTGAGGTACTAGAGAAGGAACAAATCCGTGTTACAGCCAGGGGGAGCGCGTGGATGTAAGGGTGTCTGCAGTCTACACAAATACATACAGCTTGAAAAACAAGTTTGCTCTAAGTCATACGTTCTTCAGCTGGGCCAGAAAAATCCCTTTCTTCTCTGATAGGAAAGGGGGCAAAAAAGGCAAGGGAACACAGAACTGCCCATCTGCTGCTGCTTGCAAAGAAGAGCGCAAGAGTGGCAGGACAGGTACCAATTATCAAAGAAAGGGGAAGGAAAGCTGCATTTCCAGCTCCCAGGCGAGTTAAACAGCAGAGTGTGCTGACAGAAGAACAGAACGGCATTTGCAGTCTGTGAAAGCAACAGCACCTGAGTTTGGGCTCAGTACTTGATCTTCAAGGAAAAGATCCAAGTCCTTAGGATTCATTAATCCATAGGAAACACAGAATTTATCTTCTGGTATATTATGAGGAAATGGGAGCATCACATTTTAATCGGAGCTTTTCAGAACTGATTCTGAGAGTCATTTACTTCCACCAGGCTAAAAAACTAAGTTATGAGCCAGATTCAAGGTTAGTTCAGCCTGGGTGGCACAGCACTGACCCAGCCCACTGGCCTCAGTCTTCAAACACACTGGTACTGCAAACGATTCCGAAGACAAAAACACCGTTCACAGCATTCGATGGAGAGACAGGAGGGTAGTGCAGGAGTCCCCTGAGTACAGGAATCTGACAGGTAGCACAGAATGGTTTGGGTTGGAAGGGACCTTACAGACCACCCAGTTCCAACCCCCCTGCCATGGGCAGGGACACCTTCCACTAGACCAGGTTGCTCAAAGCCTCATCCAGCCTGGCCTTGAACACTTCCAGGGATGGGGCATCCACAGCTTCTCTGGGCAACCTGTTCCAGTGCCTCACCACCCTCTCCGGGAAGAATTTCTTCCTGATATCCAATCTAACCCTCCCCACTTTCAATTTAAACCCGTTCCCCCTTGTCCTGTCACTACAGGCCCTTGTAAAAAGTCCCCCCCCACCAGCTTCCTTGTAGGCCCTCTCCTTTCTTTCTCAACTGTCAGACGATGAGCTGTACACATCTTTTTCCATCAGTTAATACTGAGAAATTAGGTTGGGCGAGGAGCATGCCGGGCACAAAGACACAGGGACACAAGCAGGGGAAGCTTCACCAAGCCCACCTCACAAACAGTGCAGTGCCATCTGGTCTCCACATGATGCTTGCACTCGTTGCAGGTGTAAACAAAGCGGTCTTGGCTCTGGGTGTGCAGTTCCACCAGCATGCACATGGTTGACCACTGGGCTCTTCGTAGCGAGGAGAACTCCAGGTGCTTGTCTCTAGCAAGGGTTAGGAAAGCATCGCGCCCATCCATCAGGTCACATGGAATGAGTGGGTCAGGCTCAACGATGGGGGGCAGGGAGTTGGCTGCGGGGCCAGCAATGAGACGGATGACAAAGAAGACCTGAAAAGTAAAAAAACTTAGTATGCCAGCACTTATCAAGAGGTTTTTGAATACCAAACAGTCACAAAGAGTGTACAATTCCAGGGCCAACTAACACCTGAATGATGTGCCACCAGGGTGGTGTGCTTGTGAGGGCTGGGACGTTTCCAACCTCTGGGTGCCCTGCAGGTTCACCTCCTTCCAAAGCATTAGGTAAGGAGCACCGGGCTGAACAGTACTGCTGTCATGACAATCCAGACTATTGGGAAGTTCTGTATGAGCACAGCTGTATTTATCCCCACTGCCCTCGCAGCAAAGAGCGCCCAGATCGGTACATGTCTGTTCTCCAGCCAAACCTGTGTAACTTACAGGGCACGACTCCCAGGTAGCACAGCTTTGTACACCTCTCTACTTAAGTCAAACACGTATTTCTCATTCCATCAGCTCTTACCTCCTTGTGCTTCTCCATAGTGGCATACAGCTTTTGGGAGAGGTCATTGGACACATTGGGCATGCCAGGCTTCTTCTTATTGCCACGACTCAAGCTGCTTTTGTTCTTACTCGTCTTCTTATTGTTCTTCTTTTTGGCATTTTTGCTGTCTCCCTTGCTCACCTATTAATTTTAAAGGCATTTCATGTCAGGTATCTAAGTCACACCACATCAGCATTTTACCCCTTTCACATCTTCTATGACCGCAGGACAAAACACACTTCACAATAATTTACTCCAGAGACACCTACCAGGGTCCCCTGAACCATTCAATTAATTCCATCACAACCACTCCAGAAGATGTCAAGATGGGCAATAGAGAGTTCTAAATACATTAGAAGCATAAATGCTCAGGACGTGCAAAGGAGACGTTATTTACCGAACCCTGTCTGTCCGCTGCAGTTGAACCTCTCGGATGATCGCCAAGGGTTTCAGCAGGTGGCTTCTCAGTGCAGTTCAGAACTGAGAACAACTGGAAAGGACAGCTGCTAGTGCACTAACCAGAGGTAAGAAAGACTCAACCCACCCAGACTTAGTTTGTTATAGCTCTCTGACAGGCTCATCGTTCCCTTAACAGACTGCCTTAAACCGATTCTGCTCTGAAGCTGTTGGGAGTTTGAGCGGCGTTAGGAGCGTGCCGTCCAGCATGCACCCTCCTCGTGTCGCTCAACAGCTGAATGAAAGGGGTCAGCTTAATTTCAGTTTTAATCAACGAGCAATGAACAGCTGGTTCCTCTCTGTGCGTCTCAGAGGGCCCCTCAGAACACTACGGCACACCAGGATCAAGGATCAAAGAAATTCTTATCCAAATATGCATTTTTCCTAAGTTAAAATAACTTGGCCAGGATAGAAATTTCCAAGGAACACGAACGACCACCACTTCATTTCAGAGTCCAGTTGTTTATTGCCTCCTTGTCGAGAGGTGAAACGTGGGCTCAGGAAGGAGTTAAAACTATTTTTGATGAATAAATAAAGGTTAACTAGTAATATGCTGCAAGCTTCCCCCACAGCAGGACGGGGCGGATCCTTCACAGGAGTTTGGCCCCAAAGCGCTGACCAACCTCACACACACAGCGAGGCAATTCCGCACGACTGGGTTCTGGTATATCAGAGGGGTGGGAGCTTGCAGCTCTGCCAAGTGCAGAACAAACCTTTAACTAACCCGTAGCCGTGTAAGATGTTAGCTAATGCAAATCTGCTATCTAGCTGCCCAATTCCCTGGTTACTCTAGCACATAAGTTTACGCAAAGTCCCTGAAGGGAGGTGTTGCAAAAAGCACCACAGAGGAACTCCAAATTCTAGTTGTAGTGTTCAACTGAACTTTTTTGATCCAAAGGTCTTTTAGGAAAACCATCAATTCTACATCCCAACAAAAATCTAGTATCTAATATGGTGACGAAGCAGCAGTATTTGAGCAGGGCTAACTAACACCTACTACCGTGTGAGCAAAGCTACTCACCTACCCTAGATTCCCCACCTCTTCCATAAAAGCTCAGAAGATCCAAGGGGGGGCAGATGCACAGATTCTGCACCTGTGCATTATCAGATCTATTGCTGAATTAAGCAGCATACTTCCTTTGGTCTTCGTGGAACATGAAAGCACAGCAGTTGCACGGTCTCAAAAAACCACACTGCATGAGGTACCAGCAAAAGGTTTCTCTACCTTACATAGCCCAACAACAGCTCAGCAGTGATTTGTGCTTCAGACCCTCGATGCCTTAACAATTTCTAATAAAAACCTATAGAGAGTAAACTACTGAATCACAGTGCTGTGTAACTTTCTGAGAACATTCTGCCAAGACTGGCATTACAACACCTAAGTCAGAAAGTTAGCTCCTATTCCAAAGCTAAAGCTTAAGGAAAAAGCTTCCAGGTCAGGCTGAGGTTGCAGCATGAACCTGGTACCTGGATTTCAGCAGCACAATATTCTGCTGGCGGCTGAGTCCGTCGAACTGACTTTGGTAATCAGTATGCTTATAGGCTTATGAATAGCCACTGCTTGTACGACTCCAGCTTCATGGTATTTTAACAGCTCTAACTTACAAAGTGTGAATTTGTATTAGAGTGAAGCTAGAAAGGTGAAAAACCCAGTTAACCAAAGCACCTAGGCACCCCCCCTTTTTAATTAGCTACATGCAATCACAGCGTTTACGTTAGATGACGAAACAGCAGAAGCATCCTTACATCCGTGCTTTCATTGCTAGTGTTCTCTTCTCTCTTCCGTTCTTCTTCCTCTTGCTCTAGTTCCTTAATGCTCTCCTCTAGAACGTTCGGCCAGAAATCCCCTTCGAAGTAAGGCAGCTCTTTTGCACTTGTTAGACGATCTTCCGTTGCCTGCTTAAATATATCCTGGAAAAGAACAGCGCTTGTTACCGCTACTGCAAGTCACGTGGGTAAAGGTAACCTTTTCGACACGTGATGAAGAAGGCACCAGCAGGTGGGACACAGGAGAGTGTGATATCTCAATTCCTTTTATGAGAGCACATTCCCAGGGCAGATTTAACGCTGCGTCAGTTACGAGACAGTTTGTCGAACACATTTCAAATACTCCCACTCCTAAGAAATAAATTACTACCTTGTGCTAGACCTCAACAAGGACACATAGCAGAAGGGACAATATGATCACTATATTGCCGACACTGGCCAAAATCCTGGTAATTGCAAAGACTTTACATCCTTCTGTGACAGCAGCCTAACCCTACGATTTAATTTAACACAGGAAGATTAAAGATTCCATATATTTTCTTTGTATTAATGAGATCTACTCTTTCTTACAGTATTCTTCAAGAATTTAGTTTAAGGAATAATTTCAACTCTCTTGCTAAAATGATTCCTGAAGCTACATGCTTTGAAGAGGATCATAGAATCACAGAACAGTTTGGGTTGGAAGAGACCTTAAAGACCATCCAGTTCCAACCCCCCTGCCATGGGCAGGGTCACCTTCCACTAGGTCAGGCTGCTCAAAGCCTCATCCAGCCTGGCCTTGAACACTTCCAGGGATGGAGCATCCACAGCTTCTCTGGGCAACCCGAGGATGTATTTTAACTCTAAGTTTTTAAGTTCAATTCACTTAAAACCAATACAGTAAACTCCAAGAAACCTGCACGATGCATAAGGCAAGGAAGAAACCAAGACAAGATTGTCCAAAACCCTAACCCCCCCCCCACTACAAACATACACTTCACAAACCTTGTAATCATGGACAATGCGCTCCGACACAGATTTGTCCAGCATCTTTTTGTACCACTCTTGCAGTCGTTTGGGTTTGGGTATCTTTTGGTCAGGAGGATGGCAGTGGAAGATGTAGTCATCTCCTTCACTAGGCGGGCATGCCCAGATATGTCCAGTAGTATACCTGGCGTCAGACACAAACAGCACATGAAGGCTTTGACTATGAACACGGGAGCCTGCTCTCCCCTTTCTGCCACGAGATGGAGCTACCGCAAAGTTGGCTGATGTTACCAGGTGGACAATAATTATAGCTCTCCAAGATTTTAATTCTAGTGTTCATTCCAGCTTCATTCATGTGACAGCATTACCATCTTCTCACTAACTTCTTAAAATTCAGCACTACCTGTGGAGCAGTTGATACCAAGTGTACACTTCTCCCAGTCTAGACAAAAACCAAGGCCTGATACCAACCTGCAAGTGCCACCTCCCCATTAGCGAACACAGAAAGATGGAGATTAGGAGTTTCAGTAGTAAAAGCCAGAATTCTTTTTCCTTGGGACAGTGCAGTCGTACATTATCCAGCAACATTTATAAAACTGGATTTACTGAAACACACAATTCACTCTTCTACTATAAATACTCTGTTTAACTTTGAGGATCAGTTTTAAAAGTTTTCACAATTCTGCCTGGGAATAAACACTCACTGTCATCCTAAGCTATTGGGTGTACAATCGAAGTACTAGGAAGACAGATGACATGCAAACAGGAGCAGCTGCAGAGAATATAATACCACAAAGATCACTTCTTCATCCATCGTTCTTCTCTATTAGCTTTGGAAAAGAACTCCAGTCGGAGGAATAATCAGCTCTCAAGTTAGAGAAAACTACCCATCCTTGCCGTGTTAGAAACGGCTATGCAGAGCCCTACCCAAACCCTGGGAACTGCAGCCAGTTGTCATTCCTTCCGCCTGATAGGGGAGAGATGATACTGTGTGACCAATATTGTTCTCCCAAAACGAGAACCTGATGTCACTCATTAGCACAGAACACAGAGGCCTGAGCTCTACGCAGCAATTTTACCGACTCACAGGTTAGAAAATACACAATAAAAGGCAGCAGAGAGAAGTCTCACGCATGCCTTTGAAGTACTAAGGAATATATCATCTCACTGAGGTACTGAAGACAGTACCACCCACCTCCATTCTGACTCCCCTCATTTTTCTCACGCGACTACTCTAAACATAGTTCCTAACAATTTCTTTATGAGCAACTCTATGCCAAGCTACGCCAGATACCTTTGACAACGGATTGATGTTGACTTTGTTGCCTTTTCTACCTCAGTAATCACGGTCACTTAATTCCCACCCTTCTCATTTCTTCAGCCCTTGTGTTCTCTTTTCTGCTGTCCCAGGTATGCTCTCCTCTTTCTCTTCTGACTTTTCAGTTTCTCCCAGTTTCAACTACTCGTTCTGTAAGAGATTTCTTAGTGGCCTCCCTCACAGAAGCGTTAATCAGTACAGACAGAACACACTTATCTCTCTCCTTATGAACGTGGGTAAGAATTTACTTGGCAGCCCACAGGGCTGATTTGATTACAGCAGTGGCATCACCCAAGGACAGCACTATCAACAAGGCCAGCAAAATATTACAATCTGGATAAAAAGGCTCACTTTCTCTACTCTGACTTAAGGAAGTTTTACGTAAGCCTGGAAACCTAAAAATATCAGAAGCATAAGCTCTCCTGAAAAGCCTGCAATCTCTTTTTGCCTTTTCTCCTTTTCAGCGACACAGCGTTGTTGCCAAGCTGTTAGGTCACCAGTTGATAGTTTGGCACCATGTTCTGCACAGTAGGATGTAGTAATTTCATCTGCAGTAAGAACTACCTGGCACAAAAGCTGCACAGAAGAAAACATTAGAAGAGACTTACCCTAGTTTCTTGACGTATTCTAGATACCCAATGAGTATTTCGTGATAGACGGCAGTCCTCAAGCATTTGGGGCGGAAGAAGTGAACACTGTCAAGGTACGATATATACACCCGCCTAAAAAAAACCCAAACAAAAACGGCACGATGAGAAGCAGCAATTTCAAAGTAGTTCTACAAGTTTATTCACGTTATTTTATACATTTGAAACACCCAATACCACCACCTTCAAAACCCCCATACTAATTTACCTCTAGAAGCTCAGCTTTCTTTTGATATCCTAGCATCGTCTCTCTAAAACTACCCAGCCCCTTCCTCGAGAACACTGACAGTGGATCCTTAAAGCAACACTGTCTGCCAGCAGCATCCCCAGGGAGAAGCGACTGGCATACTGCCTGCAGAGGCTCCTTCGAAGGTTTCTAGAAGCTAACAGCACTGCCGGTCTTCACACACAGCACACCGAAGCTCTGTACAGCACTTCAGAAGGTTCACCCGGCCAAAGTAAAATAAGCTTTCCCGCAGCTCCGCACCTTTGATTGGGTGGAGGACAGTCTGAGCCATACTCCTGCACATGCATCCCGAAGAAGCACAAGTCTACGCCATCAATCTCCTCAAAGGCAAAAAGCGCTTTTGTTCGGTAGGGGAAGGACTCAGCCATCTCTCCGCTGTCTACAAACCTGCGGGGGACAGAGGGCAGAGAGGAATACCAAATGTATCCGCCTATCCGAGAACACATGTCACTAGGTAAAGGCAACACTGACGAGGGCTGCTGCAGGTGTAATTTCAGGGCATTACAGGCTACTCAGACCCAAGGCATGCGCTTTTTACTGTGAAAGAGATGACACTCATCGCCACTAATTAACATGCTGCTGTAACATCTGTTTGTCAAGGACCAGTCAGTGGTGAGGTTTTGCAGACAACAGTCTTTTTTTCCAACTAACAGCATGGAAGTGAATTCAAATAATTTCCACCTCCCCCAAAAACAAAGCAAAATTGGAAATGGGAAGAACATACCTTGCTTTCATTCCCGGTTTTACTTCGACAGTTTTGTCAGAGGCGTGTACCACCCTCACCGTAACCTCTCCCGCCTCAGGGTGATTCTGTCGTCTCAGGAAATCATTGACTCTGTTCTCCAAGAAGGTACCAAGCCTTGTCGCCGGTAACCCTGCAGGAGAGAGACAGCTCTACATATACACCAAACTGAACTGTTCAGATGCGACGTCTCGATTTAGATGTTAAATGCAAAACGACCCTGAATGCATGCAGGATGTTATCATAACTTAACGCTTTATCTTTCAACATTAACACTTCCAGATGGGGTGAGCTGCTTTTCACCTGCAGGCGTGTTTGCGGCTTATACTTTATTTAAACACTGTGTTTCAACCCAATTTCTATCTGTTTTAAATCAATCACAACTAAGGCTCCTCTTGAGCAGAAGCTATTAATTACTTAAACTGGATCACAAACCACTGCACTCAGATGAGGCTTGAAGAGCAGACACTGAATTCACAAGTATATTCTATGAAGCCACACTAGCCAAGTTAGGCTCTCCACCTACCGAAAGAATACATTTCAACAATGGAAAGAACAACTAAATACAACTGTATCGACAAGTAATGTAGTTAATTCACAAGTTCCTCATTTTCAATCAATCTTCATACAAAAGAAATACAAGCGTAACATTAGCTAAGAAGACCCTAAAGCTGACGGGGAGTTTAAGACCTGTGGCGTAACAGGGCCTGTCTAACTGCTGCCCATTACATATCTGCCAAACAGCTTTTCATTTTTCCACTTCGACACCTTCCAGTAAAGCACTGCTACACTACGTGTAGTGTGCAATACACAGAGAAACAAAAACTGATAAAAACCATAAAAGCACCCTTGTATTCCTCTTGCACTCTTCATGAATCTGGGGAGTTTTGATTTGGGTGATTTTGGAAAAAAAAAAAAACGACGACTCAGATGCTGATTCATTGAGTGGTTTGCTGAATCTTGATGCTATTGGTCAGCTGGGGATTATTGTTATTTTTTTTTTTAGCAGAAATGTAAACACTCCCTATTTGTAAGTAGTACACCAGCCCAAGAAGCTTCTGACAGACTTATTTTGTCTATAGAACAGATGGGTAACAACTGCACAAATTAACCAGCACAACACCTGTGAATGCAAACATGCTGAACACCACAGAACTGATGGTCAGCACTGACCAAAAGTACCCTCCTTTAACTTAAAAAAAAAAAACAAACAAAAAACCCAACCCTGAAATAAATGCAAAACCAGCATAAAAGCCCCCTCTTCCCATTCGTAACAAAATATCTAAGGTTTGTTGGTGCAACTGTCAGAATCTTACTTTTAGCAGAGAATTTGTTCTCTTTCCTGGTTCGTCCTGTTTTCTTTAGGCAGCCGTCACAGACAAAGCTGAAGCAAAAACAGGAGAAAGTGAAAAACCATCCTAAGTCAGACTGCGAGGTTCCTCCCCATCGTACCATCAGAAGCAAAATCTTATCAGGTTTGGAAAATGCCTTAACTGAAATTCGAAGTAAAAGATAGCGCAAAGAACAGTGCCAGCAGAGACAGCCCAACTGTTTCAGAGCTGCAGAGGAGGATCTAAGCTCCAGGGGGTGCACGTCCTGTCAGTCACCCCTGTCGCCACCTGCAATCCCAGCAAACAGCGTCTCCACTGGCAGTCTTAAGGGTAACTAGCTCAAAGTATTCTTGGAATAAACAGTCTCAAACTGTTTATCTCCTCTGATGAAGAGGAGATACCACAACACAAAGCAAAAGGCTGATTTTTTTCTAAACTGTAGCATGGAATGATGGGCAGATTCTTCCTCGATTACAGGATGTTCTCTCTCTTCTGCAGCAATGCGGGTGGGACAACAGAAAGGCAGAAGTCGCACCTTTCTTGCTGAGAAAAGGAATATTTAAGATCTTACAAAACTATACCTAGTTGCAATTATCAGCTTTTTAAAAAAGCTTTTAAAGTAATCAGAGGAAAGCCCAGTACGCTGATCAAGAACCATGGAGTACCTACAGACAACGAGATAATTTTTCAGATTTCATCTGATCACTTAGGTCAAAAAAGTGAATTCACCAGTTAAATTCTTTAGTTGTGACAAACTCTTTTTGAAGATGACAAAGCAATACGATTTGTACACAACAGATCAGTATGAAATTGTTACCAGAACTAAAACCATCTTGTCATGAAGGACTAGTATCTTTAAAACATAAAAGGCTGAAAGGCCCTCTTCCAAAGGATCGTTAGACACATTTAAGATTAGTAACAACTTTACACGCACCACAGTTAAGATACGTCTAAAACTGATGTCACCCCCTAGATTCTATAGTTTTCAGGCGAGACTGCAGCTTCTTCCATTAGACATTCTTTTAAATACAGCCACTGTAAAGCAGTTTATGCACTAACCCCAGTCCATCTACCATATACTCTCTTGCTTAAGAAGGAGAAATTCCTCACCCAGAGGGCCAAATTATCTCGTTATGAAGAACACAGATCTGGTGCATTTTTCTTCCACACTCTATACATTCAACAAATCTGTAGAAGGAAAACAAAGGGGAAGGGAAGCAAGGTTAGTAGTACATTACTTGCTTGTACATTTTGTAATACTTCATGAGAGGAGTTCAGCATTAAGGCTCTTGAGCCTATTTAACACAGTGGGCACATCCACGCTGAGCGCAGCCTCCAGACGGAATTCAGAACCTGTCAGCTCAAGGCAGGCAGACTACCCAGGGACACATTGTTATTACCATTTGCATGCCTTGCTGCCACCCACTTTGTTTTTGGGTTTGGTTTTTTTTTTTTTTTTTGAAGTGAAGCCCTTCTAAGGATAAAATCTGTAAACTGCTTGATGCTAGAATGGACGGAGGAAAACTGATTCATAGGTGTCAGAAGCAAAAAAACCAGGAGAAACCAGTTTGTTGTTTGATGCTGCACTATGCCTGAAGCCTGGGATATGCTGCAAACACTCTGCAGGAAGGTGGGAAGGAAGAAACCACAAGCCATAGCCAAGTCACGTCCAGAACACAGGCAGAGATATAAGGATGACTGAGGTAAGCAGCATGGTATACTTTACAGGTGACGGTGGACAGAATTCTCCAAAAATACCTAAGGATGCTTCATGTATCAGGACAACGTGACTCCTTTAGAACAGGTCTGTTGATAAGAGTCAGACTTTGAATGAACAGCTATCATTTACATAGACTACACGGTACCAGAGAATCACACAGGTTGGAAACGACCTGTAAGATCATCCAGTCCAACCATCAACCCAATGCTCCCACACCCACTAGGCCACGTCCTCAAGCGCCACGTCTACAGGTTCCTTAACACCTCCAGGGATGGTGACTCCACCACCTCCCTGGGCAGCCCCTTCCAATGCCTGACAGCCCTTTCAGTGAGGAAGTTTTTTCTAATGTCTAATCTAAAGGGCCCCTGGCACAACTTGAGGCCATTTCCTCTTGTCCCATCACCAGTTACTGGGGAGACCAGGCCAGCACCCACGTCCCTACAACCCCCTTTCAGGTAGCTGTAGAGAGCGATCAGGTCTCCCCTCAGTATCATACTCTAAGTTAGGCTTGCATTCTAGCGTTAGGCTGTATTTTCACTGTAACAAAGGGAAAGAAAAGTTATGAATCCAGTTACTATTCTCTCCTTCCCACAGCCCTTGTAAAACTGAAGAACTGGCTGACCCCATGCCCCTGGAAGGATGGTGTGGGAAGAACACATATTGGTTTTGCTCATTCATTTGAGAAGGAAGAGAACGTTTGCGGAGTAGCAGCATAGGTGTGTAATGCAGGCCCCTGTAAAGTGGCCTCAAAACAACCCCTCGGGAATATAAAGAAAAGCAGCTGAGTCACCACCATCGTAACTTTACTGAATGCCTACAGTTCTGCTTCCAGAGCAGTGTAGGAGAAACGGCTCATTCAAATTTAACAGCTTCTCCTTCTACTACAGCTGCCTGTAAAATATGACAAGAAAAGCCAACTGCACCAATCAGTCCTGCGACTTGAGTGCCACAATCAGGTTGCAAAGCAGAGCTATCCACATTCGTCCTTCTGTCGAACCCACATGCAGGACAACAAAATGCAGTAGTTTCGCCCCACACGTACAGCGTTGAGTATTTCTCAAGTACAGCTGTGGTGGTTTGGGTTCTCAGCACGGAATGCCAGACAGGCTGCTTACTGAGCAGCCCCTGGAGCTAAGGGAGCCACGGGGAATTTGGAGAACACCGAAAAATAAAGCTGATGGCGAATGGGTAACGCGTCTTTTACAAACTCATTACAACAAAACGAAGACTATTGGAAGTGCGAAGCATTACTTACAGTTCAGGGTCCAGTGTATCATTCTTCCTTTTTGAAAACTGTTCTTTGTTTATCGTGCTATGGAGAAACGGGCAACAAAACTCAGTTTTAGCAGGAGACAACATACATTCATGCCATAGCGCATATATTCACACCCCAAGACAAAACTTGCAAGCAAATTTTTTAAACAGTCACTGGCACTACAAGGTCAGGAATTGTGTTTCCAAAGTGACAGATAACTAAAGTATACACCACCCTGACTCTGCCCATGGAAAACATTCTTTTCTAGGGGACAGTAGCTTGTAGAGAACCACACTGCTCCCTTACTCCGTTTTACTACAGGATAAACAGCAAAACTTGATGACATTCAAGTTTTGGACCAGTCTGATGGGTATTTCATAGTGAAAAGACTATTTAATATGCCTCTCTAAAGGCAGAGAATTCCAATTGTCTTTGATTACCGAGAAAGGTAGGTTATCTTACTTCAAGATTCCCCTAGCCCTCCCTCCTAGATTAACTTTAAAGGATAAATTTCAGCTTCCAAACCCTGCAGTCCCAGCCCAGCCACTACTCTCCCTTCCCTGCACTATTTCCAAGGCTAGAAATTCCATCTTTTTGACAGTGAGGTCCCAGGTATCTTTTACACCAATCGGGGTGAAAAGAGTCTAGAATAATCATACACGAATACCCAGACCTCTGAGTATTGACCCCGAAGAGGGTGCTGTGTAACTGCTGCGAAGACCAGCAGGTACCTCTGGGAAGCAGTGAGAGAGACTCAATCCAACTTGCATGAGATGCATCAACCTCCCTACCCTTTTATATCAGTGTTTATTCTGAATAGTGCCACCTGCAGAATTCTTTATTTATCTGATAAGGAGCTTGAACTCAGTTTAATTTCCCAATTGCCTCAAACTATTATGATAATCTGGTGGGTAGAACTGTAAACAGGACCCAACACACATATTCCTAATATTTTCTGCTTCTGTTCATTTTAACTACAGGTTGTGGGAAGAGAGGGAAGGAGCAGGATCTCTATGCTCCAGTAAAATCTGTTCCCAAGAGAAAGCCTGTAAGCAGGTGAGAACATTCAGAAGTGCTTGCTCATCACATGCAGCCCTGTACCCTCCCTTTTCACTACACAACCAAGTGTTTAAACCACCTATGAGAAACCCTGCCAGGAGCTGGAGTACCTTCTTACCACAGCCTGTGTTCAAAGAGCTTTTGGTGGCTTTCATTATTGGAAAAAAACCCCAAACACATCTCCCGTGCCTGTGTGTCCGCATCTAGTGTAAGAACACAAAGCACTCTATGCTGCCTTCTACCCTGACTCAAAGGTTTGTGCCAAACCATTCCAACTTAATGCGTACGAGAAAGATCATACTCCCTTAGCGGCTAAACAAAAAGTTAGATACAAACATGAATGAATATATTTGATTTTTGTTTCTACACAGATTTACATGCAGAGACACTTGCTTCTCATATGTAAGTACTTCATATACCACATCTCCCACTAATCAATATTGTCCAGTTTTGTTAAACTTTGAGTCTTTGCTTATACTACAGTAGCAATCCATGATACCACAGGGACACAGCCCATTGTACTGCCCAGCACACAAACATCATTCCTTCCTTTTTCCTTCCTTCCAGGCAGATGCACTCTTACATCTTCCACTGCCCCAGTGGATTCTTTCATTAGTGTTCTAGATACATCCATCAGTGCAACCAGGACTTGGTAACATGCTGCTGAAGATGACAATTACTTCCAGTGAAAGTTAACTTGGACAACTTTCCCCCGGCTTCAGACTTTCCCAAGTTCCTCACTTGCTTCTACCTGTGGTGTTCCTGCAGTGCCCTCCTGCCAAGAGCTTTCTTCAACAGCTCAAAGACTAACTGCTTGGCACTCACTTGTCCCTCAAGGGCTTCCTTAGTCTCCAAAAACGCTGTTTCAAGATTTTTTTTTTTGGGGAGGTGTGAGGAGGGTGCAGCAGAATGAAAGACTGTCCCAACAGTTTGCCACCAGCATGGAAAAGGCAACTAAAACCATGCACAGCACCTCTCATAAGCAGATGGCACTCCAGTAGTAAAATATTTCTAAGACAAAAGGAGGCTGCCTGCTTCTGCTTTGGATGAAAAACAATCTGAAGTTGAACGCAAGTTTAATAGCACAGCCAGTCTGTAAACAGAACTGTATGCTTGACCGTTTCAAACGACGTCTGTCACCTACCTGCCTGCAGGTATGTTTGTTTTTCCGCAGTAGGATACTTTCACTCCCTCCCTGCCCCGAAAAACCCAAATCTCCTCTTTTCCCTCTAATAGTACAGTTCCAATTCTAAGAGCTAAATGTTTATTTTTCACTACAGTTCGGTCAGTCCAGATTTTAAAGGAAAAAAAAGTTGACAACATAAGTCTAGGCTGCTATGAAGAATACCTGGTCTACCTTCTACTAGCTTACACACAGCAGGGTTATCTAAAACGGATCTCCTCCCCTTTGAAAAAGCACTATCAGACCATGATACAACTTAAGAACGCACAGCCCAAGCAAACAAAATACTCACGTTTGAGGTTGTGATGGGTCATCTCCCAGAGAAACGCTCTCCCCTTGGATTTCGTTGAAGCACTTCTCACAGAAATGATACCTGTCAGCAAGAAGGCCATATTTGGGTGAACTGCTCCATCCACACAACACAGCCCAAGTCAAGCAACGGAGCCACCAATCACAGCAGGCCAAGGAAGGGACAGGAGCAGAGAGCAGGTTGTCAACGGCGACAAGGATATTCAATGATGCAGATTTATGGGCCCCGCATTGTGTTTGGTTTTTTATTTGGGTTGGGTGGGTTTTTTTTTTTTTTGGTGCAATCAAAGCCAAGTGCAGATAATGACAAGCATGAAGGAGAAATAAAAAAACAACACACACGAACAAAGAAATGGGGGTTTTCAGGACAAAAACAAAAAACACAGAAGCAGGACAAGACAACACAAAGCAGAAAGCCAAGGCAAAGCACAGATTAGCATTAAATTTCTCAAATGGGTTCACAAGCAGCAAACGTTTAAAGTAAATTAAACAAGAGTATTCCATTTTCGCATACACATACCCTCTTCATTTTAATAATCCATGCTACGTACAGCAAAGAATTAAAATGAGAAAGGGGAAAGAGCAGAAGGAAGGAGGAACTGCTACTCCGACTTCTACATTGGCACAGCAGTTCTGCTGGCAGGAGGATCTGCAGGAGATCGATGGAAGAGGAATAGTCTTCCATCTTAAATGTATAAATGCTGAAAGGCCACAGGATTGTGTCCCAGTTGAAAGGGAAAACTAAATATCAGAAGCTTCAAGAACAATAAAATCTGTCCTCAAAAAAAAAATAAAAATCTTAGAGACCTTAATTATACAACTGTCAAGCTGTATGTTAACTAAGGCCTTAACATTAACAACACACATAATGCTCTACACTGATATGATTGTGCCACAGCCCGGTCTGAGTGCAGAACAGTGCAGGCTTCAATGCAGCAAGCATTACAGAGGAAGACTGCATTTGCACTTGAATAAAATAGTGATGAATTCAAGATCCTACTGCAGCCCTCAAAAATGTTCTAAAACTGTGGCGTCTCCATTACTAAGGCATGTTAATTGAGTGCACAAGACATCTAAAAATACAAAGAAGTTCACAACATGTTTGTAATAAAGCCATACAAATCAACACTGTAGCAGCTGTTAGGCTAAAAAGACAGGTCTCCTAACCCTCTCTCCCAGTTTTCATCTGAGATAATGCAGAGGACACCACTTCTAGAATTGGGGATTTCAGTCTACAGATGCATACGCACGTGAGTATGTAACGTCATTTACAAGTCACGCGTATGCACCTGTTAGTGCAAACCCCCCCTGCTAATGTCTGAAAACACGTACAGCATGTCAGATTCCTGAATAGTCGTCCTTTGCTTCATCTAGTGTTTGTCCACAGATAACGGTAAGTGGGGATACTGACATGATATGAAAAGCTTTACGTAAGTCTAAAACTACAATAGTTATCATGGAATACTCTAAGCTTATTTTCTATTTCTTTACTTCTAAAAACCTCCGTTCACTGCCATGAACTTCCTAGGCTTCATAAACCAAGATGTAACTCCTGTAGCTCTTTGGTTGCCTTCACCTGACCAGGTGCTTAAAATAACGACAATTCTTGCAAAATCTCCTTGGCTTTCAGGTAAAAAGCCTTAGTGCTTTTGTTATGAGGAGGTTTTTTTGGTGTGTTTAAGGTGCTGGAAAGAATGGAGAGCAGGAACTAAATTGATGGAGGTGGCATAGTTTAGAGGCAACCAGCCCTCTGCTCTAACAGGTGCATTGTGGTAACAGGCCAGGGGATACGGCCACTTCTTTCTGCCTTACTTTCCCAACTGACAAACAGATGCCTAGTAAGAAACCTTCTTTCGGAAGTAAAATAGATTTAAATTCTTTAATAAACCCCAAGTCAAAAAAAATCATTCAATAGAGCTGTAGAAGTGACAGCACTTTACAGAGCTGCTGACAGCTACTGCAAGACAATTCCCTTCAGGAAACTTCAGGGGAAAAAGGAAGCATCCATCTACTGAAGATCTGAATACACAAATCTTCCAATGAAGATCTGCATCACAAAAGTAAGTTTGCTCTTCAGCGTTAACATCAGGAGAAAAGCAGACTTGCCAAGTATAGTATGTATTACGAGCATTAATATACTTGCTGCATCATTTACTCAGTGCTCTGCATGAAAAATACTGCTGCATAGTAGGAAGCAAAGACAACAGACTTGTATACATGATTTGCAGAAAACCGAAGATTTAATTAACAGCAGGATAAAAATTTAGTAAAAGATCACATTTCCGCAAACAAAAGAGGAAGGGCAAAGGCTGCAGTGAACTCTTGCAGAAAGAAATCATTAACACTCAAGGTAAACTATTGGAGGGCACTTCCAGCAAATTTGCATCTTAAAAGACAAAGGTGTACAGGTAGGGAGAGGGTGTATACGTAAATACATGCAGGCCTTTAACAGACTGATCGCAGCATGCGCAGAACAGCACGGAGCGAGTCTACCTTACCTGTTCTGGTAACTGTAGTAAGTGGCATCTCGAGGGATTGTGCATAGCTGTTTGCCATAGCAACACAAAGTCTGTGGCGAGAACTCCAACTGCAAAGAGGAACGGGTGGTCTTAGTACTCATACGTGTGCCCACTTGCTCTCCGTGGGAAGCAAGCACGACCCAGACGATGATCACTTCCACCTTACTCTGCACACAGATCTCACAGTACAGCAAGCGTACGGAGTGCTAGTCACAAAACAACGTTCAGTGGGCTGTTATTCTCAAGTTCTCTCTTCTCCAAAGATGGAAAGCATATAAAATGAGACAATGACAATATACACCCTTGATGTACAGTGTAATAGAACATTTCTTCTGCGGTAACAGAACTGCATCTGTTTAATTTGCAATGGCAAATGGGTTCGCCCTGATCAAAATGAGCCTTCAGTTAATGACATCCCTCTCCCCTGCCCCCAAGGGCTTATATACAAATAGATGATTTAAGCACAAGATAAAGTTACAAGATCCATAAAACCCTCAAAATCAAATTTCCCAGGATTGCTAAATCCTAATGAACTCTCAAAATTTCTGACATACCGTAACTGCTAACAACTGCAACTGCTGTTGCAGAGGACTAAAAATACTTATTTTCTTACCTTTCTCCCACAGCAGTAACCAAGGCTCTGCATAACTGGATCAATTTCTTGCTCAAACACCTCTGCCAGTTTGGAACAGTACTTATAGACCCGGGACGTCTTGCGGTTATACAGCCAGGCGTTATTGAACATGAGCCAGATGTCATCTACATATTGCCAGGGCTCCTGATACTGCCCCGTGTCTAGCTTCCTCTTGATAGTAGAGAGGTCCATGGGGTTCTTCACGATGTCAAAATAATCCTGCGAGAACACACAGCGTATCAAAACGCTACTACAGCGCTAACGTTGTGACATGACAGCACGCGCATTCTCAGCATATAAACTCTTCTGCGGTACGTCAAGAAAAACAGGTTCCTCCCTGACCTGACTGTCAAACTGCTTGTGACATACAACGAAATCTCTAAGTAATCCCACATCCCTCCCCAGTGCTCTCTCTTCATGATTCCTTTATTTCTCAGGCTATATTGCTCTTCCACTCCTGATGAAATAAAGCCATTCTAATTTTAGTCAGCAAAAACAAGTATTCCAAAATGTAGGAAACCGCAGTGTTTTCGCAGCCACTGTGATCTGAGGCTATACACAAGAGCATTAATAGAAAGCAACTGTTTTTACTAGACCAGACAACCTAACAGACAGAAATAACTTTACAATAAAAGACACCACGCCTCCTCTAAAGAATGCCTTTTTCACTTATGGCCACTACCATAAAAGTCCTCAAAATATGGCAGCTGATTGAATATCAGCAATATTTTTCTCTGCCTGTAATACAGCAGGCCTTGAATTTTTTGCAGTACCTATCCTAAAAAAAAACAAAATCCCACACCAAAACCAAACAAAACCCCTTTCAGGAAAAAAGATGTTGCCTAAAGGATCTGAGCAGGTCTTCTACATATACGTATTTCTGTATAAACAGTCAACTTGTGTGGTCAATCCAGAGAGTTTAACACAGAGATATGTGAAGGATAGTGATGTCTTCTGAAGACAATTCTAAAACAAGCAGAAAATTCAACCCAAAAACTGTAACTTGAATAGTCTCTTCCTTGCTTAGAACAGATTAATAATCATTGATGGATTTGGGTTTTTTTGGGGGAGTGGTCTTGATCTGCTTGGATTTCCCACATATTCAGCCAAGTTTTATGTATGATGAGAAACACCTATGGAATTCAGCAATAGAAGCATCATAACATGAAGCAACGTCCATAAAAAGCCCACACAGCACTGGGGATCTGTTGGTAATCACTTCAGCGTAAGGCATACCTGTTTATTTACTGAAATGTCACAGAACCCAACAAACTTTTGACAAAAACCTTTCCTAAGTCAGACATCAGATGTTCCACTGCCCAACCTAAAACTTTTCAGATGCATCAGTATGAAAATGTTAATAAAAAAGGCTTGAGCTTTCTCAAACAGGTAGGTCATAATAGCGTTAACGTTGAACTAAAGCCAGGAAAGTATCTTGCTAAGGCACTCACAGGAATTCCTAGTAGTTGGGGATCCACAGGCTGTCGAAAGGGAAGAGACTCTGGATCCTGACGGTAAAGTGCCTCCAGTGTTGGCATAAGCGCCTGCCGCAACTCTTCTGGCTTGAAAACTTTTGAAAAACAATCAACATTAGAAAGATAGCAGAAACAGCTGTAAGCAAGAAACCTGCTGGAAAATGTGAGGTCTGTGGAAAAAGAACACAGACACTGGGTTTAAGTTACTCAGCATGGCTTATTTATCCTCCGCAACACTTGAGCTCTGAGGAGGATATTAAAGCGATCACCAGGTCACAAGGAGATGGCCAAAATATTAAAGTAAATCTTGTTTTCATCAGAGAAAGACACCACTAAATTTAACAGAGCTGGTTTACATTCCAAATGCAGCCCCTCCCCGAGGGCCTGAGAAAAATCTTGTCTAGAAAATCTGTAACTGAGGAGCATTTGAAATCTCTAGCGCAGCGACAATTTTACTAAGGCCTAATGCCTAATACTAAAGCCTGAAAGAACTTGCCCAAAGCCAGTTATAAGCACATGTGCTATGAGACATTTTTGACCCAAAGTCACAGAGAACAATCCCCATTGAGTACCAGTGAAGAAAGCTCAAGTTGTTTTTCCCCAGAGATTTCTCTAGGGAGATGCAGTGGATTTCAGCCAAAACGGTGCTCCTGCTTACTTTTTTTCTTGGACTGCCCAGCTGCCGGAGAAGACTGGGTAGCTGGAGTAGTTGGTCTTTCTTCCCCCTCTGGTATTTCAGTCTTCACTTCGGATTTCTTCTCTTCTTGTTCCATTGGGTCTGGTTTACATTCCTCCACGACTGGTTCTACTTTAACCTGGAAAAAGCAGTTGGGAGCCTTTCACTTCACCTCCTGTCAAATGACTCATCCACATTTCCGTCGTTTAACCCATCTGCCACCCTGCCCAGCAATCTTCCCTAGGGTGAAGGGTATCCAACCTTGTAGTCAAAACCTGCGCCGATGTGCTAGAACCCAGCTTTGATCATCGCAGCAGTAACAACGAGCTGCTAACCAGTTCTGAGCTGCAGGCAGACACCCAGGTACTCATTCAGCTCTTCTGGAGGTCTAACAGTCCCTTCCATACCAGGGCTGCCAGGGTGACTCTGCTGGCAGCCACACTCCTGGCTGTCCTCAGCCACAAGCTGTCAGAGCTCAGTAGAGCAGCCCATCATGTACACATCTGCTATTCTAAATACTGGTGTTTACCAAAATGCCTCAGAGCGGCAACCACGTTATCATGGTCCTTCCTGTGGCCACTGGTCTCTACTCCCATTTCATCAAAATAAAGACTCTTCTTTAGGAAGGGTAGAGGAAGTCAATGGTCTAAACGGCAGCAGCAGGTAGCACCTACAGCTCTCACTGAGCTCTGGAAGGAATGGTTTGCATGGAGACAGAAAGCAGCACGAGATTAAGATATTCTACCCAACAACTGGCCGACAATCTCACCTCAGCCTTCTCCTCCATTTGCAGCTCTGTTTGTTCTGGTTCCCCTTCATCTGTTTTAATATCCATTTTCACTTCCTGTAAAGGGGGCTGCTGCTGCTCTGGAACAGTCTGCTGAGAGTTCACCTCTGTGCTGCTGGTAGATGGGGGGTTGGATACCTGCCCATCAATGCTTACAGCTGGCTGTGAAAGCTGAGGGGAACAAAGCACATCACAAAACAGCCTTCTCATGGATTTATTCTTCATTCTCTAATCTACCTTTTACCTATGCTACATTTCCACCAAGTTTAAATGCAAGTCCAGTGCTTCTACTTCCTTCACCTGATGAAGGACTGCGACACAGCTACAGTTACTGAAAAACATGCACTGGTTTTTTTTTACTCTTTCCCTGTTGTACACCACCACTGTACATAGGTAGACATAACTGCAGGCCTCATCCACGTTTCACAGTGCAAAACATGCACTAGAATTCTGGAAATACTCCCTCTCTGCAAACACCAGATCATCTATAGACTTGATGCAAAAAGGGTGCTTCCCAAATGCAGAAAACACACCCCTATTTCGATATTAAACTTGCCAAGAGCTACCTCCATTATCACAGACTTGCACAGAAATAAAGACAGCTGAAAATTAAACCTTATGCTTAAAGATTTTCAGGGAAAGCACAATGGAAGTATTTCCTTACAGGTGTTGTGGGGTGCTGAGGCTGCAGGGGTGCTGTTGGTGTGGGAACAGATGCAGTCGTGCTCTGCTGTGACAAGGGCTGCTGCTGTTGCTCCGCAGAAGGAGTAACTGGAACTGGAGGCTGGACCTGTGGAGGCAGCTGTGCCTGCGGAGGTGTTGGAGTCTGCCTTTGAGGGGGGTGCATAGTTTGCGACTGCGGTCCAGGTGGCATTGCCTGAGGAGTAGGTGTGGGGGCAGTGGTGGCAGCTGCTGCCTGCTGTTGCTGTGAACCCAAGCCTGGGGGCGTGTGGTGAGGTGTTGGGGTTCGGCTAGGTACTGGAGAAGGAGAATTTCGGTGCATGGGAGGCTGTGGAAGAGGTGGGCAGTGAATGTGGCTCCCTTGAGAACCTGGAGCCATTGCAGGAGAATTCACAGGACAGGAAGCGCTGGTCATTTGTGCCTGTGGGAATACAAGTACATATCTGCAATGACTTGAAATAGAAAAGGAGAGGAATTCTGTCAAATGTGTGCTTTCCCACACTTACTGCCATACATCTAAAAATGTGACAAGTTATCTGTGGGTTTGGGTTGGTGGGTTTTTTTAAACTGTTTCAAAAGCAGAAACTGTCTAGTCAATTTGTTTTGCTCCATACGAACATAAAGCTGTTTTAGTGTTTATTCAGCTCTAAAAGGGAAGTATCAATACAATAACTTATATTGGTTGATATGTTTAAAGAATGGTACACCTACACTCTAAGTTTGCAAAACATTTCTTTCTAAAACTGCAGACTTTTACATCCTGAATATGAGACAATGCACCACAGTGAAAAATCGCATTCAAATACCCTCAGTGTGCCCAAGCCTCCACCCCCAAGACTAGAAATTGAATTTATCATTAGAAATATGTACACTTGTAACTGTACTATTACAAGATTACCAAAAAAAAAAAATCGTATTGGTCAAGGAAAAAAGCTGTCACTCCAATAATCTTGCCTGCAAACTAGGAAGAAGCATCAACGAGAAGCAAACTGACGTTCCCTACTTCTTCCTGGCCTGAAAGGTTCTTGCTGAAAAGGGAGAGGGAAAGGACAGAAAGGAAACTGCTAAACTCTTCAGTCCAGATCTTTGCGATAACCCACCTAACCCCCAAAGCCAGCAACACACATTGGTCCTGAGCAGACATCCCTTTTTATAACTTATTCTTCCACAATCTCTTAATTTCTCAGGCTCTTCTGCCTCGCTGTTAAGCAAGAAATTCTTAACTACTGCATGGTAGTAACTACGATTCTTAACTACTTCCCTCCTCCATAAAGCCAAACTTAAAGAAAATCCTCTGTCATACTTAAGTTTAAGCCTGAGAACAAGTCAACAATGTTTCACCCTTGCCATTCCCAGTGCTACATCAGGAAAAAGCAAGGTCCCAATAAACAAATTCAGTTGACTGTAATTCCAAAAGTATCTTAAGATAACAAGTTCTCTTCCATTGCTACAGACTTGCTAAAACCAATGAAGGAAACCAGTGTATGACAGAGCCCACTGACATCACTTCCAGAAATCAGAAACTTACTTGAGACACTGGTGTCTGATTGCCAGGCTGAGTCATAGGCATGCTCGCTGCGTTCATTCCTGGGGAAGAAGCAGGGAACTGGGCCTGTTGTAGAAACTGATTCTGACCAGAAGGCTGGCCAACTCCTGGCTGCTGCATACGTGAAGGAAACCCCATCTGTTGGAAAAGAGAGGTACTCATTTCACATGATGTCCGTGTACCTCCATAACATTCTACAAGGACCCATTTATCTTGTTGCAGAAACTGATGCTTGCTGCTTATCTGTGGGACACAGTATGGGAAGCCTGCTTGTAACTCCTCTCAAAAGAAGAAATTATGATTCCCCTTGTAAGCCGAGGAAAAAGATATTGACTTCAGATTGGGACTGTGAGTTAAGATTTATCTTTTTTCCTTTTTTTAAGCATGCAACAGCACAAAAAGCCACTTTAACTTAATATTTAGCCGATTTTTACCACCAAGACCTAAAAGGTTATCACAGACCAGACAACTTTTTCAGCAGAGATGCAAAAGGAGGAATCAAAGGGTCAACAGAATGAAGAAATGACGCGTGACTTTAAAATTCATTTTATATTTATTTTAAGGAAACCACAGCCAACAGAAGAAAACCCGCAAGCTCGATGCCCTGGACCAAACACACTGACCTGGTTCATGGCCCCAGCCTGGCTTAGCTGTCCAGGGTGCTGAAGAGGAGGGGTTTGCCGGGGTCCCATCGGTGACAGCTGCATGTTCATCTGGCCAAACTGATTCATTCCTGTGCGTTTGTGCCAAAAAAACACTTATAAACAAAGTTTATAAATTCTTATTCTTATAAACACTTATAAATTCTCCTCTGGGCACCATTCAACATTTGGGGGAGAAATGTTGTCAGTTTCTTCCGAATTTCATTTTCTAGCAGCCAGTTTTCAGGCATGCAGTACTATAAAGGAAATATCTCCTCCTATCAACCAGTACATGGATCAGTGGTTAAAGTGTCCAAGCAACCATACTCCTTCAGAATAGATTTTTTTCCCCTGAAAGACTTGCTTCCACTGTTTCAGATAACTCACATTATCTTAATTACACACTAGAAACTAGAAATTGAATCCCAAACTGTATCTTAAGTACTTTGTTGGCTACAATATTTCTTGAATATGTAACAAAGGTTCTACCCCTCCCTTCTGAGCAATAATTCTCACCATCTTCCCTCTGCCACTGCCACATATTCATCTAAGCTGGCTAGGCCCACCGTGTCTGACTGAACCCACCAACCTAAGTTCACACAATCAGAAGTTCCAAAAGCATCAAATTTTGTACTTAAAGCAAGCAGCTAATGAGCAGCTCTTCAATTCACAGACTTATAAAATGTCATGAGAGACATATGTATAGGGTCTTTGATATATTATCATTATGCAAGTATTACACAATATATAGACAACTATTTTCTTAATCAGATGGGAAAATTGCAGGTGAAACAATGGCTACGACACTTCAGCAAGAGCTGCCCGATTCCAAAATGCCTTCAAAATCAGAGTAGCAGATTTTCTTCAAATATTTACCTGGCTGTGCTTGCATACGATTCATCATCTGGTTTGGCACATTGGCACGTATCAGGGTTGGGTCGGGCAGAGGACCATCTGGAAAAAAGATATTGGAATAAGATTATGGCATTCAGAAGACCACCAGGTTTTACCCTTCAAACATTTTAGTGAGAATTACAGCAAAATCCATGTGTAAAAATACAAGAAAAAAGTACAGAGAGAGTCCAGGAACTCTAAACACTCTTGAGAAGCTTCAAACTGTGAAGCAAACCCAGACACTTCCTTGGAAATACAAGCATGTCCCAGTGACAGAAACAGCCTCTGACTTAAGAGTCAGCTTTCAGAAATGGAGGACAGTTTTGTAGTATGTCACTGAGGTACAACAAACTCAGCAGCTCCCGAACATTCCGGACCACAAGAACTTCTACAGATGAGTCTACACTGTTACTGCACCTCTAGATTAAAAACACTACGAAAATCATATGGATCAACAGAGTATTTCTCAAAGCTCTGAAGTTTGAGAAGTACTGGGCTACATGATAAATAACCAAAGGTGTCACATCTACTGCTGAACGTGAACTTTCTAAAGAGGTTAGAGCAGATAAAGTCACAGCATCAATCTTTAAGCTTGGATCTTGGTAATGCATCTCAGCAAATCCTGTTCTGACTTGAGGCATAGAAAGACCCAGAACTGGATTTACCAAGACACATTCAAATTTGTTTAAGCATGAGAAAAAGAACTCAGATTAAGATTCTTGTGGCATATGCCTGGAGCTACTGGATCTTTCTGCAGTGTTAGGGAAAAAGAGGAAGTTTTTTTGTCTCCTCAGTTGACTAATTCAAATTTTGACTGTCATCCAGACAACTTACTACAGTGTCAGTGACAGCTATACATCTGCACCCATGAGAGGTCTTAACAACTCAATTCTTAACTGTAAAGTACCTAAGAACATGCAGGACTGACTGACTAAAGCAGAAAATCCTTTTCTTCTCAGAAGGAAGGTCTCAGGAGAAAGACAGGGGTGAAGTGGGGTGTGCTCTAGAAAGCAGCTGTTGCACTTAGCTTAAAGCAGACTATTTCATTCTCCAAAGCTGTCAGTCCAGAATCACAAGACAAGAAAAAAAAATTTTAAAGCAGATTTTGGCTCGTACAGATAAAAAATTAGTTCTCTTTTACAGTTACTTCAGAGTGAGGTGTGCAATTCTATTTAGAAATGTACAGTTCAAAATCCCATATTTCAATTATTTACAGGACTTAAAAGAAAATACAAGATTAATAAGTCAGCAGATGCCTTTCTCACTAAAAACATCACCCACAACAACTAGTGCTACCTGCTATTATCTATTACCCAAATAAAGATATTCTCTATACCTGACAGCCTACAGCCCACATCCCTTCCTGATGTTGTAAGAGACATCATACCCTGTTGCAGCATGATGGTTTTGATCATTAGCTCCTCTCCCAAGTCAGTTTTATACTAATACACAAATGCATGCCTACCAGGGAATCTAACAGTAATAATAATCTGTTTGGCGTTAGGAAGGTCAATTCAAGTAACAGAACTACTATGAAATAGAAGATAGCTGCATGGGGAAAAAAGTGAAATCTGGTTCTCATTGCATGCTGGAAAGGTCATTTGTCTGAAAAACAAAGATGGCATAGAACAAGCACTACCTAAACTTCCAAAGGCATAAATACCAAAGCACTCTAATATCATACTCTCCGCTTAGCAACAACAGTGGTGACTGTTTTAAACACCACACAACTACGTATTATGCAAATATATTTATCTTACAGTAAGTGAAGTTATCGTTAAATCAATTAATTCTAGAAGTGAATCTAATGAGACTGAAGTCCTATGATGTTATGAACGCAACTTGATCTCCATTCCATCCACCCTCAAAGTAAATGCAAAGGTTTACTTATAACATTGTGCTTTGTTCAGAAGACTAAGTGCTTACCCTATGGTCATTAACAAACACATAAGCAAGCCAAAGATTTTGTGAGTACTGCTGAACACAGAGGAGACAGTTCTGTTTAACTTAGGGCAGGCCAGGTACCGGTGAAACAAGAATGGCAAAATGGTCACAAGCCTACCGAAACGACAGTACACGATTCCCATGCACCAGGAAGTGAGTAACCCAACTGTT